TCGTTCGTTATCACCGGTCGCACTGAAATAATATTTCTCTCGAACTTTAGTCGATTTCGGGCTTATTTTCTATGAAAAAATTTAATCACAAATAACACAGAATCTACTTATTTTGCAATGTTCTGAATTATTGAAAAACACGAGAATCTGGTTAGAATATTATTTTTTCTGGTTGTTTCATTTCTACTCGGAAGCGAGTACAAGTGTTACCATGCTTCAAATTTTATCCCCGAATATATGTAAAATTTGCAAAATAATTGTAAAATTTAGTTACATTCGGTCAATATGACGCTAGATTATTACTATGAGCACATTTTGCACATGCTTGACGTATATGAAATAAGTCTTATAGAAATTTCAAAGGAAAAGTCTTAAAATCCTTTTAAAATTTTAATAGTTATGCTACATAAATTTGGTTGGCATCATTACCAGTTGAAGTTGGCTGTGATAAATTCTGTAAAAAGAAAAGAAGCAATTTTCAGCTGTTTTGCCAAGACGGTTGCCAACTCTCGGCATTTACGGCATTTTTTTCCAATATGCCAATTACTACAGCGACGTTTTGTCTTTCCGTGAGGTTACGGATGTTTCTGCATTCTTTGCAAGACGATTTCATATAACTGCCCGTCTCCACAGGATAAAGTTTATATCTTGATACATATATCAGAATATAATTTGCCAATGGAGACCGCTCATTGCTCTTCGAAAGCAATATATATCAGAGCTTATATCTTGCCATCTATTGCCGGCAATTTGGTAGTTTGACAGCTACATTTTCATTTGCACGAAAACTTCATAGCTGCAACATCCTTATAATTTTAATATAAAAGCAAAAATTTAGCTGTTTCCTGTTAAAATATTTGCAATTATGTATTTGGATGTAAAATAGCCTACTTTCTAAATTTTTTAAGCGATTAAAACCGGCAAAAATACGTTTTCGAAGCTATCTTACAAATGCTTATATCAAGATATAAAAAGCCCACACAAATTTTGCCACCGGGGACTAGTTGGACGCAGTGGACGAAGCTACAGACTTGTCAGAACGCCGCACTCCGGACAGCGACTGGGTGCCTTCTGATGACGCCTGAGCATCACCTACACAGTGAGGCCCAAGTGCTCCCCGTAAGGGAACACAACAAGATGCTCTGTAAGCAGTTTCTTGTGGGGTGTCACAGAAGTGAACACCCCAACAGACCACTGCTGGAGGAGGAGCCTCCGCCCAGGCACGTCAGGGGGCACCTATTCATGTACAAGGACGCAGTCCAGACCTACACAGACCAACCACTGGACCCAATGACGTACAGACGAGCGATTAACGACATTCATAGGGAGTCTGTCTCCACCTACCTCGACTCCCGGCCTAGGAATGTCGTTATCGGAGCCCAATCACCACCTGTGGAAGAGACGGAGCTTCAGTTACCTAGAGAGACCCGCGTTACCCTGGCTCAGTTACGGTCTGGATATTGTAGCCGCCTAAACAGCTACCTGTCCAGACTCGACCCAAACATCCCAAATGAGTGCCCGGCATGTGGAGACTCCCCCCACGACACCAACCACCTCTTCACATGCCAGCTCAATCCGACTCAACTAACACCTCTCTCCCTTTGGTCCGACCCCATCGAAACAGCTCGTTTCCTGGGCCTACCGTTAGTTGAGCTTGACGATAATGATTAAAAGTTGACCCGAAACAGGCGGGGCTTAGTAGTGCCGCTACAACAACAACAACAACAGCAACACAAAAATACATGCACATTAAGGTTTTGTATTGTTGCAACCGCCTTCTCTTGATTTTCCGTGCTTCTTTGGGTTAAAGCTGCCTTCACTTGAGGTGATTTTTTGACAGGCNTTGCCACCGGGGACTAGTTGGACGCAGTGGACGAAGCTACAGACTTGTCAGAACGCCGCACTCCGGACAGCGACTGGGTGCCTTCTGATGACGCCTGAGCATCACCTACACAGTGAGGCCCAAGTGCTCCCCGTAAGGGAACACAACAAGATGCTCTGTAAGCAGTTTCTTGTGGGGTGTCACAGAAGTGAACACCCCAACAGACCACTGCTGGAGGAGGAGCCTCCACCCAGGCACGTCAGGGGGCACCTATTCATGTACAAGGACGCAGTCCAGACCTACACAGACCAACCACTGGACCCAATGACGTACAGACGAGCGATTAACGACATTCATAGGGAGTCTGTCTCCACCTACCTCGACTCCCGGCCTAGGAATGTCGTTATCGGAGCCCAATCACCACCTGTGGAAGAGACGGAGCTTCAGTTACCTAGAGAGACCCGCGTTACCCTGGCTCAGTTACGGTCTGGATATTGTAGTCGCCTAAACAGCTACCTGTCCAGACTTGACCCAAACATCCCAAATGAGTGCCCGGCATGTGGAGACTCCCCCCACGACACCAACCACCTCTTCACATGCCAGCTCAATCCGACTCAACTAACACCTCTCTCCCTTTGGTCCGACCACATCGGAACAGCTCGTTTCCTGGGCCTACCGTTAGTTGAGCTTGACGATAATGATTAAAAGTTGACCCGAAACAGGCGGGGCTTAGTAGTGCCGCTACAACAACAACAACAACAGCAACACAAAAATACATGCACATTAAGGTTTTGTATTGTTGCAACCGCCTTCTCTTGATTTTCCGTGCTTCTTTGGGTTAAAGCTGCCTTCACTTGAGGTGATTTTTTGACAGGCGATAATCGCATGTAAAAGTTGACTTGCTCTCTATTTTGTGGCAAGCGATTTTTGAATCACTATTTACACGAGTGATTTTTCCAGAGCAATGTTGAATCGTCTGGAAAATCGCCTCATGTTAAGGCAGCTTAAGTAAGCAAATACCGTTAAAACACCCATTGGAGATAGATACATTTCTAATGGATTTAGTTTGAAAAAATAAAAACCACTAATCTATTGATTTTTCTTCATTATATTATGGCGCGCCAAAACACATGTAAATGCATTACCTGTGGTATTAGACAAAAAATTGTTCTGGGCTGCTTGGCAACACTTATACAAACTAAATAAGTCCTAAACTATATTACAAAAACGATAGGATAAATTACCGATATTCAACATTTATAAGTTTATGTTGAGTGAAACCCCTTTTATAGCGTATAGCAAAAGAGTAAAGCAAGCCAAGAATTCCAACTTTATGATATACGTAAAAAATACAAATAAAACAAGACTTTGTTAGCATTTTGTAACACCAGGCGAAATATAAATCCTACAATTAATGTTCTGCAGCTTTAAGAAACTCTTGATATTGCTCCTCACTCATGAGTTTTTCAATTTCTGCGGGATTGTTAACTGTCAACTTGAAGAGCCAACCTAATAAAAATATTAAATATATTTGATAAGCATTTTTCCCAGATTCTGTAGGCTTATTAACGTATAACACTAACCTTTGTCGTAGCAACTGCTATTAATTAAACCAGGTGTCTCTTCAACAGTGCTATTCTTTTCAGTTACTTTGCCACTAATTGGTGAATACACCTCACTTGCCGCCTTCACGCTTTCCAATGCACCACATTCATCGTGCTGCTGTAGCGCCGTACCTGGATCCGGCAACTGTGCGAAGACCACATCACCAAGCGCATCTTGTGCATACTCTGAAATGCCAACTGTGGCCGTTGTTCCCTCCACAAACACCCATTCATGTTTTTCCGTATAGCGACGTGCTGAAATAAAAATAAGTTGCAAATGTATTTTATTTAAAATTGTTTTTGCACAAATTTGGCAACTCTAAATCCTAAACACATCGAATTTGCTGTTATCATCAAAGCAAATGCAGTGACTGTTGCATAAATTTTCAAAACAATTCTTTTTCTCACCTGCCAACAAGAAACTGCTCACATTGAAGGCACGCCACTGTTGACAAAATGTGGTGGGCGTCGAGCGTAGTCTCTTTGTAGCTACACTACTAAGCTGCAAGCTAAAACGTGCGAACCTTGTGATTGAAGCCATTCTCCTATAGCTCTATGTTGCTTGCTTTTCCACCAAGTTGAATAGCCGATGCTACCGCTTTTGCCGTCCGGTGCGCTTCACGTCCACTATTATAATGAGCAATAATATTTATGGCAAGAGAGCTTATCACCGAATTATTGATTCAAATAATTTGCAGCAACCTCGTAAGCGTCCGGACAGATGGCAAAGGTTATCACTGCCACACAATACAATGCGTATTTAAATAGCAAATACAATATTTAGTAGCTATGTACATTTAATATATGTACATCAAAACGAAAAGCGACTCGTGCCAATGAAGAAATTTGGTAAAGCCTACAACTGACAAGCAAAAACTGGCAAATCTAAAAATACCCTTCCTGAAGCAGAGTTTAGGGACGCAAACGATGCATCGATGTTTTTGAAACATCGATAATAACCTGAAAATCGATGTGTGGCAATGACGCTTCAGATTTTTTAACATCGCTAAATTGACGATGCATCGATGTTAATTACAACGATGTTTAAAACTCGACCCTATTGTGAGTGTGGGGATAGAAAATAATTAACTTTTTCTTTAAAATTAACTTGGATGGGATTTTCCAAACTGTGAAACATCGCAAACCATCGATATATCGATTTAT